AGTTCAGCTGCCTATTGCCATACATTGTGACAATAAAGCAGCTATTATCCCATCTATCAAGAGCGAGCAAATTATGTCGACATTGATTGCCATTTTGTGAGGGAGAAACTGCAGCAAGGCCTTGTTCAGACTCATCATATTAACACCAAAGCATAATTGGTTGATATCTTCATTAAGGGTTTTGGAAAGGCACAACATCACTTTCTACTTAGCAAGGGGTCGAAAACTTATTCTTACCCTCCAACTTGAGGGGAGTATTAAAATTAGTGATGCTAGTGGTGTTTAGCTTTATCAATTGTTGGTTGTTAGTTATAACTAACTTACACTAGAGTAGAGTTAGAGTGACTAGAGTTAGCATTAACTATAGTTAGATACTGGAGTTAGATTTTTATTTTCTTCTTTATATTATATATAAATATACTAATACATTTTAGAATTAGATTGAGATATTACACTTTCTCTCTCCTCTTCTAGAGTATTCCCTAGATTCATTCCATGCGATCTTTTTCTCCTTACAACCAATAGAGTGCTTCAGCTCAATAGTTATGGCAGATTTCCATGGATAGCTGAATTTAACAGATGTTATTCATATTTAATTAATTTTTATAAAGTTCATTATGCAACCCATTTTTAATATATAATATAAACAGATAGTTATTATTTTTATCTATTTGCCACTACTATATCATTCTCATAAGATGGAGTTACAGAAAATAACATGAATATATTAGATTTTAATGTGCTCCAAAGTATAAAAATAAACAAACTTTTTAGAGTACGGACTAGAAACGAAAAAGTTTCGTGGAAAATAGATAGAAAGAAGCATAATCCACTTTTGAGTTTTGCTGCGTCATTCAATCAAATCCACAGTAGTAAAGCACTAAAATAAAGAGAGAGGAGACCAGACACGCATGCTACCACTCTTCTCCATATTCTGCCTTTCTTTCTGCTCATTCTTCATCAAACTTTTTTTATGGTAAAGTCCCATTCAATGTTGATGCTGTTACTGAGTACAATATATTTTTCATAAATAAGTAAAAACATTGGAAATTGCCGAAAGATCAAATGCCGAAATAAAATGCCTGTCGCTTGTCACATATGTTTTTTTTTTTTTGGGTGCAAAAGATAACTTACATATATTAAAAGATGCGTATAGGGGTGTGGTGCTCGTGCGCCATATTGCATATACTTGTCGCATATGTTGCTCCCCTAGTTAACATTTCATTTTCAGATATATGTCCCATAGATTATGATTTATGTCCCATAAATTTTTAAACATTTTATTATACTTTTTTTTTACCTGTTTCTCAAAAATGACTGCACTAGTTATTGGGGGCATGCGGAGTCTTGTGATCTCTAGAATCATACGTACTAACTACTTTATATATTTATGCTCAAAATTCTTGACCCCAACTTCACTTTATCTTTTTAATGCACAATCCAATAGATAATAAGTTACAATCTAACTTATCTTAATGAGTGGAACAATTATTTCTCAAATTTGCCTTTACCATTAACAATTCTCTCACCCATTACTACCGTCCTGAACCACTAAACACGTAGAAATTGAATTAATTCGATATAAATTTTGATTGTGATTTTGTGCGCGCGCATCATTTTTACCGTCAAGGGTTGTAGTAGATATGAATATATAAAAGACTGTTGAACCCTAAATTATATTATAGATTATTTCAAGTTTGAATGGAAAATTTTGATAGGGAGCACTTTCTTTTTTAATGAACCTTACATGGCTCGAATTTGAATTAGTGAAGGCTCCAAAGCGTGTATCAAATGCCGTTTTGGAAAAATATATAAAAATAAAGTTCATTTTAAATAAAAGCAAAATACATAAGTTACCCCCTAAACTATGCACCAAATCCCTATTACACACTTTCTGAGCACGAAAATTATCTTACACACTCAACCTTTTCAGAGCGTGTCTAATACACGCCTCTTTTTTCTTGACCAGTTTAGAAAAATATGTGTAATGTCACGCACCAATAGGATGATGACACGCGTCATTGTTATTTTTTTTAAAAAAATATTTAAAATTACTTTTATACCCCCAATTTAAAGAATCCTCTAACATCTCCATCTTCTTTTGCCTTCCGCCACTGTTGACACCACCGGAAAAAGTCATTATCGTTGCTTCTTAACCTTCACGCAAATTCAGTTTTTATAACAAACCCAAGACCAAGAATGGAAGAGATGCAACTAAACTTGTAACTCCTCTGTTCTGCATTTTCTTTCTCCATTTTCAGGTCTCGTAACACAACCAAACAAAGCAAATCAAAGTCAGATTTTCGTTTTCATAAATTAAACAACTTCAGTGCGAATAAAATCTCAAATCTTTCTTTATATGACGAAATTGAGTTGGGGATTTTATAATTTCAGTCGTTCTCATGAAATACAAAAAATTATTATGTAAAGATTAAATGTTTATATGGGTTTTAATGATTGAAAATGAAGCACGAAAAGTTTGGAAGGACAATTTAAAGAAAAATTACAATACCTTTATTAAATTCTTTAACATGAGTTTTAGTGGGTTTTGTNTGATAAAAATGGAAATAAGAAAATATTACTACTATTATTTGGCACGTGGCACTAAAATATGGATTTCAAAAGATCTTTACAAATTTTACGTGCTCGATTTTTCTTGTTAAGCACGCGCGAGCCACGTAACAAAAGAGGTGTGTATTAGACACACTCTGAAAAGGTTGAGTGTGTAAGATAATTTTCGTGTCCAGAAAGTGTGTAATAGGGATTTGGTGAATAGTTTAGGGGGTAACTTATGTATTTTGCCTTAAATAAATAAAAAAGTACAATAGTAAAATTCACAGCACGAATTCGATCTCATATTTTGTGTCGCTTCATTTAAACCCATATTTCAATATTATTAAAAAAATTGTTTCACCAAGTTCCTGACATTTTTAGTGACTTATAACATCACATGTATAAGTTTCTTACATTGTCGTGCGCAAGCTTAAATAATGAAATATTTATCAATTTTAATCCAATCAACCATTATTATGACTCCTTGAATAAGCAGTTGATCCCGATATAAATCCTTTCAAGGGAAAAAAATATTTATTTGCATGACTAAAAATAATGTTAGATTCATGAACAATTTTGTCCCTTCGTAGGGACATCTGATTAAAAAGATTCATGAACAATTTTATAATGGACTAGAAACACTTCCCAAACTTTATTAAACGACGACGCTTCTACTATTCAAGAAAAAGGACAAACTGTTTTATAGCAACCACTGCTAATTATAAATTCTATACTTAAAAAGAAGAAAGCGTCAATTAGTAGAATAATAATATAATAATCCAGGAAATAATAAATAAACCAGCCGGAAACGTAATTATAATTTGGAGGGTTTTTTGCACGTGCACAATGATTATGGATTGATTCCAAAGATTATGAAATTTAAGTCGGTGGGATTTGCAATATTAGGAACTCTTAATCTGTAGCAATTAATTTGATATACACACATTAAAGTTGGACTACAATTAATTAATTTATCCTTCAGTACATACTTTTTATTGCTTGTAATATTTGCTGAAAAGTGTCATTTTCTTACGTACTTGTACCCCTCTTAAAAATTAAATCGATCATTAAGGTTGGCCAAGCAAAGGGCCGAAGGGTACATCGAGTTATAAAAACTTGATACACATTTTTCTTCAAGAATTTTGAAACCCCATATCGCCCTTAGGTTTTAAAAATCTTATCAAACCTTGTAACATAAGTCACCTCATTATCTTAAATAGTTCTAAAAAAAAATAGAATCACAATGTAAATAAAAAATTATAATTTAAAACATCTTTTCATCAATGCTCGATATATATTTCGAGGAAACTAAAAAAAATAGCAAACATGTAATGTTCCTCTTCTATTAAAAAACAATTCACTTGCCAATTGCCATGTAATAAATTTGCATAGTGTGTATTAGCTTTGCCCACATGTGAAGAAACTATGCCTTAATCTAAAAAAAATTTGCATGTGAAGAGGGACATCTTGTTTCAAGAATAATTATAACTATGCCTTAATCTACAAAAAAAAAAGAAAGTTGGAATCGTTTCGGTCCAATCAGGGGTGGCTCTAAAGGCTTGGCTAGTGAAGCCATTGTCTTAGGTCTCGAAAATTTGAAAGCCCCAAATTTACTTTAAAATCTTATTATTATTATTATTATTATTATTATTATTATTATTATTATTATTATTATTATTATTATTATTATTATTTACTATAAAATTTATACAAAGAAAAATATTATAGTATATCTTTTTATTATTTGATTGAGGTTATTTTACACTAATAAGTACATAAATTATGATAATTTTCTCACTTATTAATTAATATATTTGCTTCACTCTTCAATTTTAGTTTTATCCGTTTTAAATAGGAATTATGTTATATATATTGACAACATAATAAATTTCTTTTACAATCTTCTCTGAAACTGCATGAACACAAAAGTATTCATGCACCAATTTTCTTTTAGTGTAATTCAATATATTATATTAGGTTATTTATAATTTATTTTAGATATTCACCAATAAATGCTACTAATTAATAGAACGAAGTACAATTATTGTTTAAATTGATCAGAAGGAATAAATTTTTTTGACTCAAAACTTAAGTTATTATGTTATGTACATTTAGTGTAAAAATTCTATTAGAATAAATTTAAGGGTCTTTCAATATGGTTTCGCATCAGGTCACAAGATGAATTCAATTAGTCAAAATTCAATGGGAAAAAAAGAAGCAAAGAGAACTAGTTGTACTATTGCGCTGATTAGGCTGAGCCCCACGAAAAAGAGAAGACATAACAGTAAATCATGGCTTATTAGTAACATTCAGCCAAAACTGGTAGGTCCTAACAACATGTAGTCACATACCATCCTCCACGAGTCCTGTTCCCATTTCCCACTTCGTAGATTTCATCCTTTTTTTTTTTGGTTAAGTATAGATTTCATATTTTATTACTTTGTAAATATTTTAAATCGTTAAATTCTTTATCTTTAATGCCTTGTTAAAGTCCTATAAATACCCGTCCAAGTAGCCATTCATCTCCATCCTGCACAGTAACAAAATACATAGAAAGAAAAGAATTAGAAAGATGGAGACTTTCCCAGTGGTTAACATGGAGTTGCTTAACACTGAACAAAGGGCTGCAACAATGGAGACAATAAAGGATGCTTGTGAGAACTGGGGCTTCTTTGAGGTATAACATCATTAAACTACATACCTATATAATTTTCTCTCATAAAAAATGATATATATATATATATATATCGTGTATTGTAATAACATGTGCAAATATATGAAGGTGGTAAATCATGGGATCTCTCATGAGCTTCTGGACACAGTGGAGAAGTTGACAAAGGGACACTACAAGAAGTGTATGGAAGAAAGGTTTAAGGAAATGGTGGCAAGTAAAGGGCTTGAAGCTGTTCAGACTGAAATTAAGGATTTGGACTGGGAAAGTACTTTCTTCTTGAAACACCTTCCTATTTCAAACATCTCAGAAGTTCCTGATCTTGAAGATGAATACAGGTCAAAGGATCTCTAATTGTGCTCCAACTATCTGGGATTTTTCACTTCAACTTTTAACCTGCATATGTTGGACCACAAGATTTAATTCAATGGATTCTTTTTCCCCTATGGATTTGCTTCTACCTGAGGCAGATTTAAGGCGGCTTTTGTCGGTTTCAACTGAATTATTACTTTTCGAGCCGTGAAAGCAGCCTCTTGCGGGAATGCAGGTAAGACTGCATACAATAGACCCTTGTGGTCCGGCACTTCCCGCACCCTGCGTATAGCGGGAGCTTAGTGCACCAGGCTACCTTTTTGTTCAAATTATGTACTACTTTGTACTATATTTGATTAAAAAAATCAAAAATTTATGCATAGAATCAAAACAAACTCATGCTCTAGATCCCGAATTCAACCTTTGATTTGCTGACTTTACATGAAACATGACAGGAAAATCATGAAGGAGTTTGCTGAAAAGCTAGAGAAATTAGCTGAGCAACTTTTGGACTTGCTCTGTGAAAATCTAGGACTGGAGCAAGGTTACTTGAAGAAAGCCTTTTATGGTTCAAAGGGTCCTACTTTTGGCACCAAAGTTAGCAACTATCCACCATGCCCCAAGCCTGATTTGATTAAAGGCCTCAGGGCTCACACTGATGCTGGTGGAATCATCCTTCTATTCCAAGATGACAAAGTCAGTGGTCTCCAACTACTCAAAGATGACAAATGGATCGATGTTCCACCAATGCGCCACTCCATTGTCATCAACCTCGGAGACCAACTTGAGGTAAGGATTTAACTTGTATACACTGTTATTGTAAAGAGTGTTCACATTATCAGATATGATTTTTTACTATTTGGTTAACTTTTAGGTGATTACAAATGGAAAGTACAAGAGTGTGGAGCATAGGGTGATTGCTCAGCCTGATGGAAACAGAATGTCCATAGCTTCGTTCTATAACCCGGGGAGTGATGCTGTCATCTATCCAGCACCAGAATTGTTGGAGAAAGAGAACAAAGTCATTTATCCTAAGTTTGTTTTTGAGGACTATATGAAATTATATGCAGGTCTTAAATTCCAGGCTAAGGAGCCAAGGTTTGAAGCAATGAAGGCTGTGGAAACTACTGTCAACTCTGCCCCAATAGCTACTGTTTGAGACTTTGATGGAGTATTAATTAGAAAACTGATTAATGAGAAGAAAATGGCTTAGTGTTAAGATTATGATGATGTAATAATGATTTGCTTATGTTGATTAGTGGGGGTGTTTTTCTTGTTTTATGCCACTTGGGGTTTTTCATGTACTGTTGTCTGGTAGTCTAAGAGGAGTTTATTGCTATGTTCTCAAAAAAGTTCCTTTTAACTTGAATTAACTCTTTTCTAGCAAAATTACCTTGAATTTTCCAAAAATTACCTTGTCAGTGACCTGAGTGCGAGAACTGAAACTCAATATGAAAAGCACTTAACAATATCCAAACCGAATATCCAGTCAGAATTTATATATTTCAAGAACATTCATTTGGTAAATCTAAGATCGTACACTGCACTGGTAGTTTTCTTTCCTCCCCGGCCAATGAGCGTTAAACGCGTGCAGATTTCAGAAACATTAGTGACAAAATGTAAACCAGCAAACAATGTTATGCGCTATGTCAGAATTCAGGAGCATCATACCTATACAGAGTTATCTCATGTGCCCTTAATGGCTAGAACTGCTTGGATTATAAAATAATAATCTTCTGGAACTACCAGATGAAATGACAAAAAATAGATTAATCCTATTAAAGACATAAAGAGACAGGTTAAAAAAAACAGAATTGGACTCAGAAAGGGATGTAGAGGAGGGCAAGAATTTGGATCTTGCTCATTACACACAGAGCACACATTTCTTTTCTTTTACGATGGTGATGTCCGGATCAGCATGAAGCACAGCTCAACTAAACCATTGAGCAGCCCCCTATATCTCACATGCACAGGGACCAAGTAATCCGGTACACCAAAGAGTTGAAGCAGATAGCTGATCATCGGGCCTAGGTTCTCCAGGTTGTTACTACTACACCTTAAGCACTCAATAATGGCCTTGGGGTTCATAGATCCAACATAAATATTTAGCTAACACCTACAGTTCCGAGATAATGCTATCGCATGGACCAGATCACAAGTTATAGCTTCAGATATAGAGAAACAAAAGCTTCAATATTAAACCCTTAAACCTATACCTCGTAGAACGATATGGTTCCAGCTCAACAATAATCAGCTTTCACCTTTTTCCCCATTTCAAACAAGAAATCAAAAGGTTGAGTGAACTTTTCAGAAAGTGAAAGCAATGAAAAAGGATATGAGCAAAAAACGACATGGTTGGCCAGCTTAATCTTCCTTTGTTATTACAAGAGAAATTGATATAGGGAACAACTAAGTCAAAGCAGCTGGCTTTCTATGAATCAATTTGAAAATGTCCAAAAAACAGTTATAGTAGCTTTGCATTAAGTTCCAAAATCCCTTTCAAAGGTAGTAACAATTATACTAGCAACAACGTCTCTTCAGCCATGACACACATGGAATCTGAAATATGTACTTCCAATAGAGAGCAAAATAAGAGAAAGAAACCTTTGAAAAACTGTATGTCACAAATTGATAATTGTTTCCATCACACGATTCTTGTTTCATCATGAATGCAGATCCTAAATGTCTAATTGATGTTCGAAAGCCAAAATTTTCTGGTTTCACGTATGTAAATTTTTTGTAAAGAAATAATTATTGCAAATTTATTGTCAGGTCACCGCCTAAGCTTGACTAGCATCATTCTTGTTATTCGAATTATCAGCCCCTTCAGTCTTCGGGCTCTCAACCATTTGCTGAGAAGCTTCTTCATTGGAACAATGATTTTTCAGAACTGTTGAGATGTCAATCTCAGAAGCTCCAGCAAGCTTAAATCGCTCGACTGCAGTATCAAGGTTCTTCTTCCAACCAGTCATCCCCAATTTACATTCAACTTGAGACCGCTCAAAAAGCATATTACCCCAAAACAAATGTATTTGAGATCTCATTACAGCAGCTTGCTGCGCAGCCTCATCAGCTGAAATTTCACCTGGACCACCTGCAGCCGACATCTCAGCTTCAGGACCGCTTCCCTGTTTCTTCCTTCTCCTTAGTAGTTCATCTTTCTTGCTTGCACTAGGATCCCTTAGTTCATTAGCCCTCAGCTCCTCCAGCTTTTCCCACATTTCAGTCGCTGCTTTCATTTTCTCTTCTGCACTTCCAAATAGAGCAAGCGTCTCAGTAGGATCCCAATTTGACAGGTCCTCTTTCTTAGCCAAGACAAAAGACCAGTGGAGTTTTGCCATTTCAAATTGCTGCTGCCCTAATGCCAGCAACCCCTCATAAAAATCTGGTTTAATCAAGAGAGCCTCCTCATACTTCTCTTTGGCCAGAGAATATTTTTCTTTCACCCAGTCATAGGCTGCTTGAAGCTTAGTAGCCATCATCTCCTTTGAAGCAGAATCATCGATCGGCATTCGTTTCCTGGCCGCGCACATGTGAACATTTCCCCAGTTGAAAAAAGCCAGAGCAGCCACTTCCTGAAACTTTAATGCAGCCTTGTCAAAGAGAGCTTGAGCCGCTTCACTTGTCACAGTTTCCTCAAGGGCTTCAGAGCTGAGCTCCATTCCGAGCTCATGCAAGTCAATGTGAGCATCTGGATCAATGCCAACGTGGGTCCTGAATAACTGAGCAAACTCGAACAGCCAATCATCCATCTCAACTTCCTTACATTCAGGATCTTCCGTTGTGGTTTTCTCTTTGGTAGTACCCTTCTCTGTCTTGTTAATCTCACTGTCCTGAGTTTCCATAATGGAATCACTTAGTGAAGAATGGGATCCACTCTCATCTTCTATAGTCTCCTCACTCTCGACAGGCCTCTCTTCCTCTTCCAACAAAGCTGGTTCTTGTTCAGGACTCACCTCAACAATATGCAATCTCAACATCCCAATGGAGTCACCTTCATCTGCGTCAGGGTCTTTTGGTACTAAACTATCAACCCAGGACTCGGCCAATCTAAGCTCACCGGTGCAGGTAATAGTTACTAAATCACCATCACCGTCCTTATATTTAACAAGAACAGACTTAGACATTGGAAACCGTTTTGTAACAATATCCCTGAACACTCGAAAACTGCAATTTACAGGCATTTGGGCAAGCCTTATATCATGATCATAAACAAGCTTCAATGGCCTCCAACGAATCACAGCATCCTTAGAATGTCCGTGGACTGTAAGTGATGCTGACAAAGAAGCCAGCTCCTTCTTGTCATCCCTACTAGGACTTGCATTTGGTTTAGAAGGACCATTTGAAGGCTTCAAGACAACCCTCGGCATCTGAACTTTGCCCTGAGTACCATTTTCAGCAGGCTTAACACGAGAGGGCTTATCTGGTTTATTATTAGCTGATACAACCGAAGCCCCAGCTGAAGGTGTTAGCTTCTTAGACATTGATCGAGAAGGTAAACACGGTCCTAGACCGGCAATAGAGGCTGCACCCACCGCAGACGCACCAAGGGCAGCTGGAGATGGGCGGCTCCAAAGGTCTTGCTGGCGAGGACCAAGTATCATACTCAATCGCCCTGCAATTTCCAAAGCATCCCGGTGATTCCTGTCAGCATCCAGTAGCATCTGCACATCTTGCATTGCCATTTCATACTTTCCAACAGCCTCAAATGCACGAGCCCTTCGTAGAAGGGCCCTAACAAAATGGGGCTGAACCTGAAGTGCCATAGTACACTCAGAAATAACAGAATCATAATCAATGGACTTCATTTGCATCAAACACGCCGCTCTATTGCTGTGGAATACAGCTCTTTCTGGGTGTGTCTTTGGTGTAAGTTTGAGAGCATTCTCATATTGTTGTAAAGCACCTACAAAATCCTTAGCCTGAAATCTTTTATTTCCCTCTTCTTTCAGTTCATGAGCTCTTTTTAAGAAAATGGATGAGTCCAAATCAACAGTACCATTAACAGCAACAGGTTTATGACTCTCCCCTACAGCCCCTTGATTCTGATTTTGAATTTGACTTTGAGCAACACCACCCTTTTTCTTCCTACCACCTGATTTCCCCATATAATTATCCCTTTAAAAAACTTTTCAAGATTCAAACTTTAATAATTATAAACCAAGAATAACCATAATTTATCAAAACCCCACTATTTGGTTTGCTCTATAAATCAAGAAAGAATAGAAAAAGTAACTTACAGTTACAGGTACAAAGTTTACACCTTTGGTGGAAAACTGAGTGTTAGTTATAAGATAGAATCTTGAAAAGCCAGATGCTGAATTGAGGGAATGATTGATTTGATGAGATGGGTGTACGAGGGAAGCACTGAGGGTTTAGTGCAAAGGTTTTTGGACTTGAACCCTAGATAGAGGAGGTGTGTGTTGTTCATTGTTAGATTGAATATCCCCTGTAGGCCAGGATAATTTGGTCCATTGTTAGCCGTAGGATGGGTGATCTAGTGCTGGCATTGACCGTAGATCTTTTTTCTGTTATTGGATAATTACATTAGGATTTATGGGCAATGAGAACGACCTTAACTAACTTATTATATGTGTTGCTGTGGAAGTTAGAAGGAATGCAGGATGAAGACGTCACATAAATCAGATGTTGTATGTTTGTTAAAAGGCAAAATACATTAGTTAGCTACTTAACTATGAACCAAATCCCTGTTATACATTTTTTGTGGACGAAAATAACTTTACACACTCAACCTTTCCAGAGTGTGTCAAATACACACTATTTTTGCTATGTGGCACGCACGTGTTTAACAAAAATTATAAGCGCGATAAACTGTAGAAATTTTTATCTCAATTCTTACTTAAAGGACACGTGTCAAAATTTTAAATTTTTGCTTTTTAAAATTATTTTGTTTCCCTTCACTTTAACTCACCCCTCCCTGTTCTTCTTCCCCAGAACCCCGCCCCTATCAATTTGTTGCTGACCTTCCTCCTTTCCCATTTTCATCTTCTTCCTCATCCATTTTCCACCATCTTCTTTGTCCACCATTTTAAGAATAATAATAATATAAAAGGGCTTTGGAAGAAATTGATAAAGAAAGTTAAAAGAAATCTATATCTAAGAGAATTCTATAGATCTGGGTTTGAATCATAATTAAGTAGTAACAAATTAAGAACACAAATTTAATGTGGTAGAATATTAATTTGGTGTTGAGGGATATTAGAGATGAACCAAAAGATGCCGAGAATTAATTGATTCTATTTGTTATTTACATGTCATTTTTATAAAGTTGTCGTTTGTTGCTTGCGCTTTCATCACTTTGGTTGCTTATTTGCACTGAATAATGTCACAGATTCTGGCCATAATCAACTGTCAAAACACCTAGTCTTTTATTTTATCGGAGAAGATGACCGTGAATCGAGCAACCATGGATTTGGCCATAACCAACTTTAATGAAGTTTTGAGTTTCGCATCCTATTTCTTGTGTTAGATTTGAATCTGGACTCACAAACTCGTGATTAATGTACTTGAGTTCCTAATTTTGCTTTATAATCGAAAGGTGATAGTTGTGGATTTTTTATGGTGTTGGCGTCAATGGTGATTCGGTGCAGAAAATAAAGGGATGGAAGGGAGAATAGTTTAGGGGTATATTTGTAATTTCACATTAATTTATTTTATTTNGCTGTTGAGATTTGGATTTAGGTCGCATAAATGTGCACCCGAGTTTAAGAGAATAAATTATTTAAAGCGCGCCGGAAGTGATTTGCGCGTTGTTATCTTTTGGGGAAGGCCGTGAAATTGGCTAAACGGCCCATCCCTAAGCCTAAGTATTTTAAAACAAATATTTATTGAGGGCCCCGCAATTTTGTATTTTTTATTCGGCGAGGCTCATCTCATTTTTTATTCAAGGATATCCTAAAGCGACTATGATTTCCTATTTATTTGTCTCTAAGAATAAAGAAAAATCCTAATCAATTAGCAATAAAAGTTTGAGCTTCAAATTCGAATCTGTGTCCAAACAAAAGTAAAAATTCATCTTCTAGTTTGAACACGCTACCTAACTTAAGATCCGCCGCCTGCCGTTGCAAATATTAACAAACCAGCTACCATTTCTACAAAATTCAACCTTAGCTTTATTATATGAATTGGGTTATTGGAGTTAATCTATATGGAATACAAAGCCATTTTTTACTCTTTTTACGGTTTGTTAAAAAATGCATCAATGCTTAAAACTGACATCAAGCTAACATTAATCACTAACATTCGAGAACTAACATTAGTTACATTGCTATTTAAATTGATGTTATTTACTCAAGTGAACTCGCGATTTCAGAATTAGACCTATTAAACCAACGTGCTGATTTTTCATAAATTATTTGAACCAGTTTTGTGACATAAACTATTTGAAGCTGTTTCACAACTACTGAACAAAAGAATTAAATACAGTATATTCCATAACTAGTAATCACCAACTGAGATTAATTACAATTGATATTCCATGTTTGTAGAAATAGATTCAATCAGTCCGGTTTATGCATTTCAAAATCATTCCAATACAGACTAGGAAATATCAAATGAAATACTGCTTATACATCAAATTAAACACAAAGAAACAGTTATTTTCAGAAATCCATTCCAACAACTCTTTACTTCCTTTCCTTTAAATTTGAGAGCTGTAGAACATGTACCTGGATAACGGAAATACAAGAAGATGAATGAGCGGTCAACAACAGTAATAGCCAACAACAACCAGTAAACAGAACACCCAGTGACAGATTTGAAAACCAACAGGGTTCCAGCACACTCAATGAAACAGCACCCACACCAACCAAGGCAGACCAGAAATAACAAACTCAGCAACCACTTAAAACCTCAGTGAAAACCCAGAAATAATCAGCCTGTTTTTTACTCTCAAATTACCGAACTTTTAAATGTTAAAAATCCAGCCTAGACTCTAAGAAAAATTGGAAGAGAAACAATTTTCTTCCTTTAAAACCAACCCCCTCTGTGTAAAATCTGTACTGTGTAAAACCTATCCTCTCCAGATTTTTCAGAAAATCCCCCTCTCCTCTCTCTAAAAAAAAACTCTCCCTTTTGATCTTGAAATGACCCTATTTATAACCCAAAACAGGTATGAGCAACATATTTTAATCAATCCCTTTTAAATCATTTCATACCATTATGTTTTGTTCCCCACACTTGCATGCCTTGTCCCCCACTATATTAAACAATGCATTATTGCCCACTACCACATGTCTTGTCCCCCACCATGTATTAAACAATGTATTAATTCCCACCATCATATGTCTTGTCCCCCACTAGGTATTATTTTAATATTATTAATGTCTAGTGGACGGAGCACTCAAATTAATCATTTTTAAGACTCAAAATCCCGAAAATGCCCCTGAAAATACTGAAATTTACCATTCTACCCCATCAACTATATCCAATCCTCCTAAGTCAATTAACCAAACTTTAGCAGCTATAACCAATTTTAATTGAGAAATCCTAACAAATGACTGATTTAAACACATGAAACTAACTCCCAATCAATGACATTATGATTCATCAAACTCAAATCACAATTTAAGCTTGAAACTTAATTCGGACCAAATATCATCAAAATAAAGATTCAGTGATTAAACTAACACACTTCTAGATTAAACCTAAACAAGAAACAAATGAACGCTGTCAACATACTGGATGAAAACAAACTGATTTTATATGCAAGAAATGATGAACAACGACAAGGAAAGAAACAACATAACATAACCAAGACAAAAACAGAAACTAGAACGAGGCAAGATAATTAAAACAAGCAAGAAGAACTATAAATTCATGAACTTGTACTGCTGCTCACTACGTTCGATCATGAAAACACGCAGCTTGTTACCTTCAATTGCTTCAGAACTTGCAGCATCCTCCTCCTTCACGTCAGCCACCTCCGTAACCACCACCGCCGCCTCCACTTCCACGAGCCTGAGCTTCGTTAACGGTAATGTTACGGTCGTCAAGTTCCTGACCGTTCATCCCTTCGATTGCATCCCTCATGCATTTCTCATCCTTAAAGGTAACAAAGCCAAATCCTCTAGATCTGCCAGTTTCTCTGTCATTAATGATCTTCGAGTCGAGAACTTCGCCGTATGTACCGAAAGTATCAGCTAAGGTTCTATCGGTGGTAGCCCATGTGAGCCCACCGATGAAGCAACTGTATTCTACTTTTGCAGCCACTTTACTACACTGAGAGACGAGAGAAGAGGATAAACCCTAAAGGAAAATATTAGAAAGAAGAGATGGGGTCGTTTGGGGAAGATGAAGACGGGAGGGCAGTCATGGAGGGTGGACGTTTGGAGGACGATGGGTGAAGAAGATGCAGAAGGGCAGCCATGGATGTGAGGTCGTTTGGAGCTGGAGATGCAGGGGGGTTGGTTGGAGAAGATGAACGACGATGAGTGAAGCAGCAGCAGCAACAACGCTGCTTGACGTAGGGACGATGGGGACAGAGAAGAAGAAGAAGGCAGTCATGGGAGGGTGGTCGTTTGGACAAAGATGAGTGAAGCAGCAGCTGCCATGGAGGTGAGGGGGCAAGGGGGTGGTTTGGGGAAGATGAAGAGGAGAGGGGGCAGGTGGTTTTAGGTTTTTTAGGTTAGGCCTTTTTCAAAAAATGAAANCTTTTATTTTTTCTTAAAATAAAATTAAAATTCTAAAAATCCTAAATTAGCCTATAAAACTAAATTAACTTATAAAAATGCTAATTAACTCTTAGTAACAATTAACACATAATTAAATAGCAATTACGATAAAAATCAGACAATTTGGACATTAAATGCTAAAAATGCAACGTACATTATTTTTATGATTTTTTTTTATTTTTGTAAAACAAACTTAATTTCTCCTAATTGTAGAATTAAATCCTAAATGCAAATGCGGCATATTTTTTGTATTTTTATTAATTTAACAAATAAACATGCACGGACAAATACAAATAATTATCCAAAATGCCACGAAAATTCTCAAAATTGCACACAAAGGAAAATTATTTTATTTTGAATTTTTGGGAGTAATTCTCATATAGGGCAAAAATCACGTGCTCACAGCTGCCCCTCTTTGTCCGAAAACACGAAGAGTTTTCGTGCAAAGATAAAGTGAGCGGATACGAGCGATTTTTGTCCGTTAGAATACTCCGTGTGAAGCAATATTTTTTGAAAGATTTAACCGAACCTTTGCTTCAAAGGTTTCCTACATATCCCTGGCTAGAAGGGAATCAGGTTAATGTAGTTTGGGAAGTTTTGGTAGCTGGGCCTACCATGGGACTGCAATGTTACTGTTGTTGCATGCTGTTATTACTACTTTCCGACCTCCTTATTACACCATGCTGAAAGAAAACAAGAAGCTAGACTAAACTATAGTCTATGAATTACAAAATCTTATCTAGATCTTCAGCCATGCTCTTGTGTCTCTTGTTGCTTTGATGTCTCGGTGACTCCTCTGGTATTTTTTTACTTCTGATTTGTCTTGTATTCTCCCTTGACTGCCGATCTCGAACTGCCGATTTCCTTCTCGTGAGCTTCGCATTATTTTTCCATCGAATCTTGAACTTCCTTCCTCTGCTGGGGATTTTTGTTATTTCCTGCTGGGGATTTTGGTTGTATTCCTCTCTGCTATTTCTTTACTTCTGGCTCGACTTGTGGTCTTCCTTCTGATTTCTGTTGGGGTTTTTTGTTGTAACCCTCCGCTTTACTGACTTCAAACTTCCATGTATTCCTCTGTTATATGGGCGGGCTCCCAACTTCAAAACTTGAAATTTAAAGACTGAAATGTATTCCTCTGTTATATGGGCGGGCTCCCAACTTCAAAACTTGAAATGTAAATCAAAATTCGAAATGTAAAGACTGAAATGTATTCCTCTGTTATATGGGCGGGCTCCCAACTTCTTCAACTTAAAATGTAAAGACTGAAATGTATTCCTCTGTTATATGGGCGGGCTCCCA